AATTAGTTACCAATGATTCTGCACTTACAGCTTTAGATACAACACAAAAGGATGCCCTTTTACCAACAAATGAACCACAACGCGTTAAAAAACCAGCGTCAATGTCGAAAATAGATAGTTATAGTCGATTCGTTTTTCCAGCATGCTTTTTACTTTACAATTGTTTTTATTGGCTTTATTATTTAGTGATTGTTAAGCATAAATAGAAAGATTAATAATGAATGAAAACTGTTTTCCATACCTCATAAATCATTCCTTCATTGTGCTGATATTTTGATGAACAAGAATTTTTATGTACTCCTTTTAATAAATCTTTGCTCAATTAGATCTCCATCGTGTCAACGGAAAGCAGGTAACTTATAATTTCAATTTTTTGCATTTAATCAGTATTACTTGCATTAATTATCCATATTTAACGGGAAGTTGACTTGTTCTGCTATATAGTTTGAAACTTCAATTTCTCATTGAATAAGTTTGTTTTAAATTTTCAGATGAATCTTCCTTCATTTTCGTTAGTAATAAAAGTAGTATTAAATAGTGTACGATATTATTTTCAAAAATTTACCTGTCGGTATTTCATATTGCTTCGTTTATTGTAGTTTTTTCCTCTTCTAATAACTAGTTATAAAATCTTAATGGAAAAAGTTATAGTAACCATTATAGATATGTTCAGTGACCTTTATCAAAATTAATTTATTTACAACTAAGTAGTAAATAGTTTAAAACAATTTATGGCCGCTATATCATTAAAAACTTAACTTTTGTAATATTTCCGGATATCCCATATATACACACTTATTGTATTCCATTCATTGCATTTACTCTAACATTTTTAGTGTACATACTTTATTCTTGTACCTAAATGTGATTTCTATTCAATCCTAGTATAACATATTTAAAAATACAATAAGGCGTTACGAAGTTATTACCAAGGTCCCATATCGTGTTAAGGATAAACAATCTGCTATAAACAATGGATTGTGTTTATCACTCATATATGATATGATTAGCATATCACGAAAACAAGTAGGACTATTGGAAACGTAATGTTGACATATTTCCTGTTTCGGAGAATAAGAATCACATCATATCATTAAGAAGTACGATAAAAAAAACTCACGAAACTAACCGTATGACAGATATTCTTGTATTTCCATATATAGTATTGAAGTATATATATTTCGGCTTTGGATATCCAGAATGTTGCTAAATGATTATTATGCAATCGAATTAACGTGTCCTATAATTCCAACACTCATCGCAGTACTTTTGGATATCTTAAAGACATACCTTATGACGAAACATTGTTTCTTGATCAATTAATACATCACTGATAAAGAATTCGAAAAATCATTCTACATACATTGGTTGTGATTAAAATTTTATAACAACGTTCACAGTGTCGATAGATAGTGCCTTATGGAGAAATAAGTTTGCTCAGTGAACCAGGAAATTTTCTAAACAAAACCACAGGTACTAATGATAACTTTTGGAATATGAGTGTTCAGTTGGTAGATGAGCATTATGTAGTGTACAAATAAAAAAGATAATCACAAAATAAAACTGAAAACTTTAACTTCAAGGATTTCCACAAACTTTCAGTTTTTCATCCTTATAAAAAATCGACTTGTATCATCTTGGGTCTTTTCTTAGGCAAACAGAGTCGAATTTAACAAATAAGTCTAATAAAGTAAACTGACTGACTTAAATAGTCACTCTATATTACCTCATTATCATCGAATGTATACACATACCTGGATTAAGAAGGAACAATTCAGGAGTGATTCAGAAAACTCATTTTACATTGTTGATTTTTGGTCTGAACTAATGAGAGTCGTAAAACTACCAGAAATCCAATTTTTTAGGAACTACATTGCTACTCAATCGTACTGTGATAGGTTCAAATCTTATTGTTGATTTGCATTTAGCAGATTGGATATAAAGCAAAATTTTGCGTTTAGACAGCTAGAAAAAAAGACGAATATAGAGTATTTCTTATCATTTAAAGTGAGAAGAGAATAGCTACAGACGCTATCCTACTACAGTTTGTATTTTGATATGAAGAGCATTACTACACTACAGCTAACCATATGATAGTACAATCAGATTAGCCAATCAAGATATGATAACCTCATACAAGAAAACTACAGCCCTTTTTAATACAAAACGTTTAATAAGGTAGACATATTGTCGATGACTAATAAGGTAGTTTGATACAAAAATTCAGGTTTGATTGGAATAAACAATTGGTTTGTCTTTAAATCTGATAAGTAATTAACTGTAGGGTTATGAAACACTATTCAAATTCTGGTGTCCCGCTATCAAAAAATCTCACGATCTTATTCGTAAGACTTTAATACGAAATTGAAAACTGAGTCCAATTTTCTGATGACTAAACATCTCTCAAATAACTTAGAGTGACAATTATAAAATTACTCAGTTGCGCCAGTAGTTTAGGCCTATAAAATTGACTAAATAGAATTAAGTGGGTCTTGAGCGACGAATGATGAATGCAGTTATTTTTCTGATATTAGCAATCAATGAATAAAAGACGAAACCAAACATCGAAAAGAAAATTAAGGGGATCACGATGTTTAAAATTTGAAAATAATATTAAACGAAATCGGAGTAATGTTTGAACTCTACATATTCTAGGCGATAGGCTCAGTAACTAATATTATATGTGCGAAAATTAATAAGCGTAAAAGTAAGAAGAATGTACCAGATTCATGGTTGTTTATTCTAAAATTTAAAACGTCGCTGGAGTTCAATGAAAAAAATGTCTCGACACTATCTGAGAAATAATTACTTTGAAATATACATGCGATTTGGGAAATATAACGACAAGTTAGCAATGCATCTACCATTCGACTATAATCACTATGAAAGCCGAGTAAACTACATCAGTATAGTTCAACGGCTTAATCGCAGAAGGAAATTATCTTGAATACGACAATGTTTTTGATAAAATGTGCATAGAACCACGTGATGGTAAAACTCATGTAGTCCGTAATGCCAATGGAAGTATAACACAAAATACTGCTTCTAACAGTACTTGTTATCGAAGGACATAATCTGTTAGGAAGCAGCCTTTGCATAAAGGTTTCCATATTTCCAAGAGTGGTCAATAAACGGAAGTAGTTATTTGGACGCGGATCAGTTTACATTGGACCTTCTTTGAAATATGAAAAAAATGAATGCTAAGTTATCCCGTTTAAAGTATTATGCTGAATCTGGCATAATACTCCATATTTGACATACCTCTAACTGGAACAGGTTTCTCTTAATAGTACTTACAATTCTATTTACCCATTTACGCAACCAATCACATAGACGTTTCCTTTATTTGGGTACATCCCGACAATTTATTAAGTTATTTAGTAGCATATTTGTTAGGTATCTAATTTGGACAAGTCATTTTTGTATCAACCTACATAAATAGAAACACAGCGTAGTTAACTCCTTATCAGTAACCGCAATAATTCAGCATAAACTCGCTACTTAGTAACTGGTGAGTGAAATTGGAATTACGCTGTAACGATGCCACAAGAAAATTCCCATTTTGTTGTGCGAATATATTCGTTCTTGCTACATAGAAATACGGCTGACATATAGTATAACTGGCTCCTAACAATAATGAAGTTGATTCCTTTTTCATTTTCTGTTCAAAAGCAGTGTTTTATCTGAATGTAGTGGACCACACATTACTACCGTGACAAAAATTCGATGGTAATTCGGTATGTCATTATTTCTAATTATTTTAAATTTAGACAGTGAAACGAGACAGAAATGCTCTTTTTACCATAACGTCATTTGTCTAGTGTTTGAAAACTTGGACCTTGAATCACTTATCTCCAGAAACCTACTCTTGAACCCCGAAACGAAAAAAAACAGCGGAATTATGGAAGAAGTTTTACTTTCAAGGTTAGTTTATATACATAATATATGGGTGTTTATAATGTTACGTAGCCTTGATATTCTAGAGGCTTCTGGAAAACAAGATAAAATTGGTAATTAACTAAACGGAGGAAAACAATACAACTTGTCGTTTTTCAAAGTTCTAGTGGTAATTTTTAAGGAATGTTGATAGATAGAAGTATTTTCAGCATTTTTCCAGTCTCTAAAGACAATTTTGAGAGCTCCTAACCTGAAGGAAGCTGTCAGATAAATCTGATATTTTGGACACTTATTTCTACCTTTCGGAATTCTTAACACAAAATAATGCACTTAACCGGGGAGTGGGTATTTATTTCACAGCGAAATCATAGATATTTCAATACGTATTTGTAAGATGACTTTTAGTAAATAACTTAACCCACCTTACTAGATTAACATTTCGATTTCCAAAGATTGATATCAGAATTTGTACTTGTAACGTTTGAATTCAAGCAATAAAATAGAAAAATATAGTTCAAGTGATGGTTGATAAATGAATTTTACTAATTCTATTAAGTCAGTATGAACTGAGTCAAGTGTATTGACGATAGAAACAACTACAAACAAAACTATCAACAATGAATATTTAGACCACTCTAATGAATATGTGAAACATTTAGCTACAAACTGCAAACGAAGCGTAGGTCCAAGTTTACAGAAATGATTCAAAATGTTGTTAAGATAGTTTATGTATACCAAATTTTTCAGGTTAGTTGTTATCAGTAACGATAAGATCTCAATCTTCCCGTTACATAACGCTTTTAATTAGCGCTACTGAGATTACTTTTTAAGATCCATGACAGAGTCGTCAACAAGAAAACAAATTACTTGGACAAAAGCAGTTTTTACTATGGTAAACGTTATATTATGGCATATTGAAGCAAACGAAACGTTTATTAATTTACAAATTCAACACAACGTATACTTTATTGGATGCATCATGGTGTAGTACGCTTACAAAAATGAAACAACAGAAAAGAGAAAAAAGATATAGTTATATACGAGTTCACAGAATAAGGGTTAAGAAGACATCCATTTTCTTTTATATGAAATTTCAGTTCAAATTAAGCGGACGGAAACAGGTCACTAAAGTGTTCGGTACAATATTTACGGCATTCATCTGGAAAAAAAACCGATAGAAGATATGCATCTCAAGGATAATTATGCGAATGTATAACCAAGAAGAGCTTCATGTGTTCAAGATTGCATTATAATGGCTGTGTAAAGACCTAGGCCAAACTATTCTTACATTCCTTTAAGATATACATTGATCTGAATAAAATCAGGTTTTAGCTAAATGATATATTTGTAATACTTTTTCAGTTAGTATTGAATCAAGAAATAACATAATTGACATTTTATTTTGTTTTAACGTGAAAATATATGGAGAAGCACGTTATTAGCATACCAATACCATTCTCTGTAATGTATAAATTAACAAGTATTGAGAATGTACATTACGTACAGTATTATTAAATACGATACAAGAATCCTCGTAATGATAGTAAAGTTGTTTCATAAATTTTGATAAGTGATATTTCTCCACAATCAGTTGAATTCATTAAACAATTATTTTCATGATTCGGATATGTATGATATTATCAAAAAAGAGATCTTATCAAGTCCATAAGGAATCCTTACTAAACTATTTAAAATTTTGAGATTACATAAGCTGAAGCAGTATTTCAATTTTAATTTAAAATGTAGTAACAATTTATACACAGGCCTTTTTATCTAGAAATTAAACCAATGATTTATAAACATTATGGTGACAAGTGTTAGAAACTATACTGTGTAAATCTTTCGTTTTACTGACGATGGATACGAGGTATTCACACGTAATGCCTAATAAATAAAATGTAACCTAATAATTCAAAAAGCTAAACTCCTGAATAGTTGGCACCTAAACTAACGGTTGAAAACGGAGCCCTTAAAAAACTCGGTAAACGAATGACTAACTATGTAGGAATTAATTTGAATTCAAGACAATTTTAAAGTCTAAGCAATCTAGAATAACAGTTTTCAAAAAGTACCTGAGTCCCAATAAGACTCCATACACATTGAACTTTCTTTAAGAAAATGGTGAGTACAATATAATTCCATATAACCTTCGATTTGTTGAATAGCATCCAAATAATTGCGAACATTCTCCATGTCAATGACATTTTCTGAGCGATGCAGTCTAGCAAATCTGTGAAAGTTACAAAAAACGAGAATATACTGCCCACGTTTACCTAGTGTTCAAAAAACTAAATGTAACACTAAACATTCTAAACATTAATAAATTTACTGTTATATGGTTGGAAACCATATTAATAGTGATATTTAGAGACACAAAGAATTCCAAAACTCGCATGTTGTTACATAAAAGAAAAGGAATGGTGGCAAGTTAATTATATGTATGACAACTTTTTATACACAAATACTACAGTTTGAAAGCTTGGTACCCTCGGATCCAGAAGTTATTAGTTCAGGCGTTTGTATGGACCATTCCTGAAGTAATATTTTGCGTCCAGATGGGGGCAGACGTATGTCAAGTACAGTTACATTATTGCTCAAGATCAAAAGACTGTATTTTCATTATTGCCGAACAGAACTATGCCATCTACATATTCCACGTTGACAAGAGTTTCAGTTCCATAAAAATCAGAGGACAAGTGTTATTTCTAAGAGAATGACAAAGTTAAGTGAAACGAAGAAGCAGCAGACAATCCAGATGAACACAACTTGGTGTTATCAATTTTAATGACTAGTAGTAGTCGAGAAGAGAATACATACAAGGTCGACGTATTTATTTGTTATGCTTTTTAGTAACAGATACTTTTACAAAACCGCTCGATCTACGATCGAGAAATACCAAAATTATCAGACAACGGCAAATATGCCTATGTTTTGTAATCTGATGAGGGATGAATATTTGATCGACACAACCAAGTTCAGGTCTAAAACCAGCATCGTTTTTTGAGTTCGCTCTTCACTAGCCGCCCTCCAAGAGTTTGGTGATTACTGAAGATAATATCCTAGACAAACTATATTTAGGTCAAAGTGATTACCTTGTGGTTATAACACGAAAATTTTTGCCCTGGTTTATAAGCTAAGATGAGAAGTGGTCGAAACTAATTACATCGGATTATATCAAGCTAATATATCAATCCGTTTACCCGCCAAAATTATCTCCGTTACCAAACTATTAGAGACCCTTATTCACCTTCTTTTAGTGCTAACTATGATCATTACAAATTCGTTAGATTTATTTATTTGAACACATAATTATTGGTACAAGGGGGCAGCAAATATATATGCGCTACACTAAAAAGGGTATGTGTATTTGGTGGTAGCATACAATTTTCAACCAGGCAGTGACTCGATAACGTTTAGATAGAACTGAGTTTCCACCATAAGCCAGCTGCTGTATAAGTCGAAAAATAAGGATACACAAAGTTGGAATAAAAGAGAGTGAATAAGTGACGTGGTAAATAATAATAACAATGATAATAAAAATAATAATAATAATGTGAATTGTTTGACTGTTAATCGAAACGTGAATAGAATTTTCAGTAATTATCGTCATTTCCATTTTATTTGTATGTGGGCTGTGATACCGCCCGGGTGCCCAGACCGAAGCAGGTGGTTTCCTTAGGGGGCCACACCCCAAGCCTTTGACTTAGAGGTCTGACCCACAAGGCAGTGGACCATCGTGAGGAGATGCAGTCCCATGGTAGCCGGTGACCAACGATTGGTTCCCGCAGGATACTGGAGCCCATGTGCACTACTGGTTTGGGATCCGGTTAAAGCGCCGGACATTCGCTTTTCATGCTTTCATTTTCGTAAACAACACCCCCGCCACGAGAAGGCAGTGAGTAGGACTTCCATGGCAGAGGCTGTATATGTGTGGCCGTGTGAGAGCGTTTCGAGAGGGAGGGCGGGCCCACCCCACTCTCGGCCATACCAGGGCATTTGGGGACTTCGTTCGGAGTCATAAGTACATGTCGCTCTTCCTCTCAGGCTGTCTGGAAATGGTGGATAACTGAAGAGTACCAAGAAAACAGTTGAAAGGTTCCTTGAAGAGGTACTTCCCACATATTCAACTGTCTCAGTAGAAAGAGGATCAGAGTTCTGTCTTTTTTGACGATAGTCTCACTAACACTTGACGTTTTACTACCTATTTCTTCAATAATTTTGAAAAACTTTCAACCATTAACCACTGCTATTTCTTCCCATCTACTTTGTTTTCGTTGACCGCCACACTTGACAATCATTGCTTAAACTATTTGCTAGTCTACAATTAAGTTGTTTTCGTTTTTCATAGTACTCAGAGTCTGATGAGATGAGTTTAAGTTTACCAACTACTCAGTAACCACCATAGAGATCCACTTATATTTCTTAACCTTTTGGTTCCATCCACGGGTAAATGTCATTGCTGTTTTCACACCTATTTGGATATCATGAAACTTACATGGAAGTGAACATCGCTAATTGCATCTCTAGTTGTTCCTACAATATCCTCTCGACGTTTCGTCTTTGAGGTGGACCATAATGGGTCTTCCAGTTGTCACTTTTCCGAGTCCAGTAAAATGCCAACAAAAATGACCTCTCACTAGAACATGATTAGAGTCGATAAGTGTTCGTGATTGAGTGTCAGAATTCTACAGAGCCTCTCAAAAATGGCTGATGGCAACATGATCTATTCGTACTCATTGTTGAATAAATCTTGGTGGGTCGCCGTCTCAGACGATGTCTCTTCATGTGTTTAAAGTTGTTGGGTGTGTGTAGCTGCAGTAGATGGTTATCTATTTTCGTTCACTGAGCTGGGACAACGAAAGGTCTACCTAGGTGTCTTTTAGCTTGGTCCAGCCAATCTACTTAAGTAATAAAATTAAATGCTATGATTACTATGGTTGAGCACTTAGATTCCGTTAGAAGAGCAGAGAACTTTCTGTAAAATTCATTTACTAGGATTACAGCCAGAGAAAGCATAGACACTGAGAATATGAAAAGGAAAGGGTGTATATCTCTATTCTTCCGGGTTTCACGTCACCATTTAACTGAACAGTTCACAAGTGACTGTCTACTGAAATTCAGTCTACGAGAGCCTGTAATACCTTCGCTCTTAATCCTATAACTATCTCGACGAAGCAACAATAATTTATACAAAAAGGCCCCAAATATACGGAGGGTGAATTGAGTCAGTTCCTAATACTGATCATGCCAGGATCTTGCATGCGAGTTTCGGGGATGTAGAATATACTAATAACATGAGACTCTAATATATATAATTCCAATTTCGTCTTAAACAAAAAGCTAGGACGTGGACTTTTGGAGGAAAACTGATTACCTTAATGCCTCTAATGGCCGTCCTTTTATCAGTAATGCATCGAACAATTCAGTGTTGCATGTATTCAATCTCTGATAAGAAGATTAGTGAAAATAAACACAAAAATATAAAGAGAAATTAAAATATTTAACAGCCAACACAAGTAATTTTCATCATCGGGACAATCTAATTTTTCACAATTTTATAACAATCTGTGCATAGGAACGTAAATGTGATATGAATTTTGTACTGACACAGAAATTCGATCCTAAAATCTCAAGTCAGAATTCCAGTAGCGATCGTTACATGCATAAACAATTACAACACCATTAATAAAAATATACCAACAAACGGATGACAAAGTTTGACAATAAATTCTAACAGTCCAAATTCTTTTGAAGTTTGTCAAGTCAAGCAATGTATTACATATGTGCACTAAAATATTATTAGTGACGAACCAATTTCTTCCTAATATTTCATTCGTTGGTTGTAAATTAACTACTTTACGATTGGTTGGTGGGTTTTGTATACCTACAGCTATATTGAATTCGTTATATTTTACCCTTGTTTCTACTGAGTACTAAATGTTTTGCTGATTTTATCACCTTGACTGTTACGTAAACCAGTTATTGTTTACTGTAGTACCATATAATATAGATTTTCGAGAAGCTGGGAGATTTTTATTGACTCTTAATGTGATGTTCCAGTGAACCTAATGCAATGTAACCTTTACGGCTGAATCATCCTGCTCAGAAAGTGTGGATCGACTAAAACAACTTGTTCATCCGTCAGAACCTAATTATTGAATTTTACCGACAAATATTTTTAAGGTAATTCTTGAAATAAACTTTAGTGATAACAGTGATCAGTTAATTTCAGGTAACAGAATGCTACCTGGCTGCTATCCTAGATTATTTTTTGACAAACAATGATTATAATCACCTAAGTTTCATTCAGACTGAACAAAACAGTACGAGGTTATTATTCAGTTCTTTACAGCTTTCGGATTGACATTCAGTTTGAGGTAAGCAGACTGTTATCATTAGTGTGAAATAAATTCAAGAATGAGAGTAACTATTATTGTTAGATGGTTAATAGTTGCATTGTCAAAAGATCATCGTTTGATCAGAGCTTTATCATTTTTGGAGGACCGTACTAAAGATGTTAAGTCGGAATGAGTTGTGAACTTCTATTGGTTTTTTTTAATTTCAACATACAATCGCTATTGACTTCAGCTCATTTAATCAAAAAGTGGATTGGTGACCTACCTTCAGCATATCAATACCAAGTTGTCCTGCTGCGGGATACACACTTTCCAAAGAAAGCAGTTGAAGTGCCTACAAAAAGTCACACACTAGATAACAAGATATGGTCAATTTCTATGAAACAGAAAAAAATGATTTTAAGAATTAGCAAACGTTTGGTCTCTAAAGTGCAAAGTGAACCCAACTAGAAAGTTGTATATGAGGAAAATAAAACAGAACATCATCTAAAGGTTTTCTCAAGAATTAAAACTTTCTGCTTTAAAATATGATGTACATAGGCTACAGAAGAAATAAAAAATAGCTAACCCCTGCATAGAATTACGGAATAAACACGCATTCTGTTTACAAAGGTTAAAGCTATGAATAATATCATGAAAATACCATAAAATTGTTTTGCTTTTCTCAACACGATCAAATATTCGTACGCTACAAAAAGCACTTTATGCTTGATGATTATAAATACTACAGTTAACAAAATACATTGAAGAATAAAATTTAACTATTCTGAATTTACTCTCATTAACTAAGTTACGATAAGCGATTACTAACAACCGTCCAGTGTTCCTTAAGATACAGCTAGTGCAGATTAATTAACAATAAGTTAGAACTAAAATTACAAAAAATGGTTACCATGACCATAAACAAATGGAATCTTGGACGAACTACAAATACGTATTAGAAGAAATAGTAAATTGCTAGAATCAGTCAACTATTTACGAACAAATTACAACAAGTCAGAAAACCAATAACTCAAAATCCTCATTTTTATAAGATAAGGTATTACGGTAGGCTTTGAATCAGCAAGTAGACGACTTTGAACATAAAAACTGAGTTGTGTATAATCCCCCACTCTGGCGGTGAGATTGACGAGCATTTCGTAGAAACAATGCTGAAAAGAAATTATTTCGAAAAAAACGTCAATAAAGATTTAAACGTGAGAAAAAAAGTGCAGAATCATCTCATTATGTGACGAGAATTTGGAAGTGTAAAGGTCACTTCACATTCAAAACATCTGGCGTGGAATTTACGATAGACAAAACATATAACTAAGGCAGATTAGAAAGTATCACTGTCGATTATTCACCTTCATATTATAATACGTTATAATAGTGACAACGTATGTGACAAATTTTCAGATATCAATGTTTTTGAGCTGTTCACATTTCGAATTTTATCAGAGCAATCTTTGTTACCACACATGCAACCCACACGGATACTCCAGTATTTCAAAAGTATATACGTTTCTGATATGCTTTTCACTTGTGACTGGCAGTGGAATCAGTGACGTGTACTTTTTCCAAGCTGGGACTCGTCAGTTGGTATTCAAAGAGATAGATATTTAGTCCGAATTTCAGTGTACATGTAAAAATTAGGATGCTAATTTGTCCATATAACGTGTTATACATAGGGTAAGATGTGCACCCTGGACTCCACTGCTAGTCACAGTCCGAAAATACACAAAAGATAAGTGAAGCTGGTAAATGTAGCTCTTTGGATTCCGATCCATTGAGTGAACTGTAATGTGACCAATGCAGGGTCTGATTGTCTCTTGAGAAATCCTGTAAGGTGACAAAAATGAGGATTTAAAGGAAAAAGTCAAACGACTGTTCGATGCTTCTTATTTCTAGTAGTTTTTAGAAGTAGACAACCTTAACTGACATAACATAAATTCCAAAAGTAATTTTAATCATATTTCGCTATCAATCATTTAGTCACGAGCATAACAAGGGTCTACTTTTTTTTCTTAATTCCGGTTTAAAATAAACAGTGGACATGAAACACATCATATTGATATGTATTGATAAAAAACAGCTTAGGATGATACTGAGAAAAGTCTTAGGAAATACTATTTGGTTGTACTGCCAACTCAAAACCTTTTAGTATCTTCCTGAAAATTCCTACTTCTCGTATATGAACAGTCAACGTTGGCAGCTGACTGGCAAATCCGAAATAGTGAGATGAAAACTCTGTGGAGCGAGAAAATTTGCAGTAAACGTCCCAGCGTATCCCACGAAAAAAACCATATATTGCCTTTTATCTGAAGAGTGGTTAATCTTTCTATTAGAAGGTTCATAATTGTAGAACATAGCCATGGAAATAAATTCCGTAAATATGTTATGATGCCAGGTGGTAATTGACCACTGACAGAGGTTACCATCACTTATTTATTAAAAATCTGTCAAAAACACTGAATGGAAACATAAGCTTTTATAAACAGTAAATATGGGTTCATTTGAGATATAATTATATATATTTATCTAACGATACAAATGTTGTAAGCACAGTTGTAATCATTTTTTCTTACTTCACGTCTCTACTTAGCATAATTCTATATGGTGCAACTAACAAGTTTAGCTAGATAAAACTATTTTAATTATAACACTAAAAATTGATGATACTCACATCTACACAAATGTCATGCTCTGAAAATATGCGAATATATTCAATCAGTATAGAGCGAAACAATTTACGGACTTCTAGTCTCTATAAATAAGAAAGACCAGCAAAGCATTCGTTAAGTTGCATTCAAAATAAGTTTACAAAATAGAAGTTATTTATGGTTTGAATAATTATCTGAAAGCTAGGATATTTCGAAAAAAAAACATACACAGAAGTGTTATATCCCGATAAGAATAATGAATGGTAACTGTTGGAATGCATTTCTGGACAAATACTATACACATATTTTTATTGTATGGTTGCTAAGTAACCAAACTATTCATATTCATGTTCCTCTTATTGTGAGTTTTATTTTGACCCATAGACTATTATTATACGATTTACCGCTCTTAAGTTATCCCCAGTCTATTAATTAGTCTCCTACATTCACAACCAAATTTGGCTAAATCTTGTGCAAATGTTGTTTCCTATTTTATGGTACGATGTGGTCTGTTTGGTTTGTATACAAACCCAGTATGTTTGACATACATGACTCATGTCGCAGAGGCTGAGATTGGTGTTCTGGACTTAGCAGGTGGGGCTAGGCAGGAAGCTGGACCGATAAGGACTCTGGACTGCTCGTACAGGTTTATGCGTCATTGATCCGGTCGATAGATCACTGTTCTCTAATTGGCGGTATCATTACGTTATACACTGATAGGGGCACAAACCCACAAGTTATAACAAGAAGTGAAAACAGTCTGAAGCATTTGTTCCTTTAGAGGATACTGGGTGGAAAATTTTAAAACAGCAACATCGTCCAAGAATAAGATATTTTATCTAACTGGATACAGAATCGAATCATTAGAAAGATCCATGAACTAAATGTAGTAGTAACAAGTTCTGTAACTCATAAGCTTTACAAGTGGAACCGTAGATACACTATATTAGTAAGCACAATAATCAAAGCCAAGTAACTAATGGGACAAGAATAAAAAACTATTGATTTACGTGAACAATAGTAAGAAAACAGAAAAAAAAAGCGTTATCACTTAAGTTTGGTTTGGGGATATACTGCTTGAATATATTTGTTTGATTAGTACGTGATACGGTTATGAGAGAGATGAAAGGTCTATTTTTCAGATAGATACAAATAAAAGTAATTGATACACTAAGTGAATAGCGAAGTCTTTTCTCGGATAGTAGTATTAACTGATTTAGGACTATGCTAATGGATCGTAAACCGAAAGAGACGGAGAAAAACAAGTTATTTCTTTGGTTCAGTTTCTGCTTGAAAAGGTCTACAACAATTTCATTGCAACAGAATGACGCCTCACCACAAAAACTCTAAGCGAAATTTAAAAAAAACTGACTACTTCCCGTTTTATCTAGAGGTTGGTTTGGTTAGGTCTACGGTTAATGCTGATTAAGAACAATCGTAATTTCCGTAATAGGAACAAAAACTGTTTTGAACTCGATGACTCGGGAACTGTTACGCACAACACTTCAACCATAATCCCTAAATGATGAAACCCAAGAAGGCAGGAGTGAAAAAAAGCTAAATGTTCAACAAGAACAAATTTGAACATATAGCAACAAACATGACCTTGGGACAGTAAAATTAGCGAACTAGAAGTGGTAAAATCCAGTCAGAGAACAGCGAAATCAATACGAAGATATGCACCAGAACAATATACCACAGATTATGGTTACAAAAAGGACTTTACATTTGTTGTGACTTTATGTCCGGCTTTTATCACGTGATTTGTCCACCAATCAAAATACGACTTATACAATCTTAGCACTGTGCCAAACCAATGACGTTCGACCGGTAAGGGAAGTCTAGTGTCCTTATTGGTCCTATGTCTGCCTAGCCCGTCCACTCGAGTCCAGAACACCAAATACCAGCTTCCAATATGCGAATCGAATCGGATCAGAACGAATTATATCAAACAAACAGACCACAACGCACCATAAAATAGGAAATAACATTTGTGCACAATAAAGCCAAAAAGTGACTGTGAACGTGGGAGGCAGTAGTCAATAAACTGAACATAGCTTAAGAACAGTAAATCGTACAATTATAAATTATAGGTCAAAATAAAGCTTATAATAAGATGAATATAAATATACATAATCTAATTATTGAATAGTTATACCATAAGAATGTACAGATAATATTGGTCAATTAATGTCTCAGAAGTTACTCGTGATTTAATCTTCGCTCGGATATAATAACATTAACTAAAAAATACCAAATAACTTGAGATATTTTTACCACATTTTTACGAAACAATTCAATATTCTATAAACATGTGACAAAAAGATAACGTAATGAAAACCGGTAACTGGTGATATTTTAACAGCGTATCTCATGAAACATCACTACCTAAATTCTTGTCTTAACTGTTAACAGATATCAGTTACATGACAAATCTTATTTGAAAAATTAGATATTTAAGTGTCTGCGTCAGAATTCCTCATATATATTTGGATGGTCATAAAAAACTTTCGCTTTGATTTTCTGTAGGAAAATTTAGAATGTAACCGGTTTTCATCACAGAAATATATTCATTGTTCCGTTTAAAGCCTAATAACAAAATAGAAAACCGTATATTCTCTCATTCAAAGGTGAATGACCAATGATTAAATAAAGACTTACAGGTTTGAACAATATTATTTTAATTAGTATGAGTTCGAAAACTAATCAAACCCATTTACCTCAACACCTTGGTTCTTTAAAAATAAATGTGAATATATTTCAGGTTGGGAAATGATGTAGGTTGACGAACCCGCATGTACGCCTTTGGATATTGTCTTCTGTCGAAAGAAAATATGAAAACTTTGAAGTCCTTTTAAAAGTGTGAGGAACAAAATGAAAAAACAAAAATATCTATATAAAGAAGTAGTAAATCTTAAAGTCTGCTTTCCAATACATTTAAACAGAAACTCTTCTCATACTGAACCAGTAAAGTTTGCTTAAACTAGGGTCAGCAGAAGAATGGATAACTACCCCTGGTTTGATTCAAACAATGTCGTACTATCTGAGAGAAGAGTCCCTAATTAGTTGATGTATTAACTATTTACTTTAACATTTACCTGAAAATCAAACCTATTTAATTAAAAACGTATATAAACATCGGTGACCAGTTATATTCCAACACACTCTAAAGTTCGGAAAGCTATAGATGCATCTAAAATAGAGAAATGAATAACCTATGAAATGTTACCTCCAAATTTTATCAGCTATGACATTTTATGAATATTCATCAAACTATGATCATAAGTGAGGAAATATGAATGAAAAATAAATAAAGGAAGTGTGACTGGTGTTTATTGAACAGTTTCATTTGCAATATTTGAAAAATGTGCAAATGGCCACAAGTAAAATGTCTATTTTTTCATTCATCACCGGTGAACGATTTTGGATCGTAAGTTTTATTTCTGATGTATTTGAGGTAGTGGCTTATGTGTGATGAAACTACCTGAATTAAATCGGTACAATAGAGGAAAATATGCAGGAGCTGAATATGATTCAAGTAAAGTCTTCGAAGTATTGGCAATAAAAATGTATTCATCCACATTAAATTTAAAGCATCACTCACAACTATAGAACAATGGCATGATGCTTCCGAAGCACTTGGCATTTTACGATCAGAATCAGTGAGCAATTTACTCATGACGTTTGTCCCACAGTAGCCCACTTCACAAATCCGTTTAAAGACGAACGCAAACTGATCTAGTCGTTGATTCAACCCATATCCATCGAATTTGTAGTTCAGAGGTTTGTCAACATTGGAAGTAACCTCTTCGATACTGTCTAACGCCAATTTAGAGCAGTACTCTAACAGTACACTTTTGCCACTGGATCGATGAAGTAGAAAATCCACAACAAGGTTCTGTAAAGTAATAACGCCCATATTGAATAATCAATGTTCTTAGTTTTACCAAATAAAGAAATCACTAAGTATTACAGGATGTTAAACTATTGACCTTATTCCGCCTATAGAAATAAACAGTTCAATATAGATAAGCGAAAAAGTAAACTTCACTGACTAGAACGCTTTACAATGACTTGTGGTTCATCTAGAAAATGTTAAAAAACTGTCCCGCTTTACTTATAACACCAAGGAAATGAGAATTAGTGAACACTAGAAAGTATGTAAATATCCTACATAAACGAACACTTGTCAAAGACGCTAAGAACGAATAGTTGGACATACAAAAAACTGCTCAAACCAATCTAACGCAATAAAATATCTTGTCCATTTTAAGCATGGTGAGAATCTGATCAGGAAATAAAATGAGCTGCTTCGGAAAGCACAGAATACTTGGTGTGTTTATTATTTTACAAAGAAGGTACTACGGAACTGACTTACGTGAAGCAACAGAACACTGTGAATTTGACCACTATTAGTGATTTACATGGTGGAAAATATAGACGAAATATTTGGGTGAGAAAGTGGCCTCATTATGATTGACAAAAGTGAAGTAGCCTAAAAATTATGAACAGCTAACAATGGGTTTGAAGATTAACAAATAACAGAATTTTGACTAACAATGAAAAGGAACATCGTACAAAGGAGATCACAACATTAGATCCATAAATAATCTACCAGTAATATGTAGAAAGCTTTAAACGCAATTGCAAAGATGTTCCAAATAATTCAATGCATAAGCCTTTAGTGGACGAAAATTATGGTAAATCAGTAATCAATTAACTACTAAGACGAGCACCTTAGAGAAAAATCTATAGGTCCTTTCAGACAAAAATAGACAAACAAAACTCACGTGATTATCAATTAGTTTTGGAAAAACCATAGTATTCAAGCATAACAGCCATGAGCAACCTAGAAGAAGTTTGAACGAAAACAATCAAAAGAACTACAAAAATGCTTGAATATCCTATCTAGACAAATTGGTATGTTGATAAATATATACTTAAACGGACGTATTAAGGAATAATTAGTTTACTTAAAGAATAGTTAACTCCGACAAACTAGAACACACTGATGAAGTGAAAGATCTACATAATGACGAGAAGTGGGTTCAAACACCAGAATGAGCTACATCTAATGGGTTGAAGACATAAACCGGAGCTGTTGAAATATAATTCGAATCCAGTACCTAGTTGTTGATGAAGTAATTTTTATACATTTATCCTAAATTTTTGCTACCGATGAAGAATGTACATACTTCTGTTTGCAACGAGTATGCTGACGAATGGGACATCGATGAGAAAACATAAAAAAGAAAACGTTTAGACAGAATGATCTGTTGTCCAATTGGGAATTTTTACCGTATTTGTTCACAACGGAACAGCTTTTGAACATCGTGAAATAATATATATTCTTATTAAGATTTTTAACTTATCCTTATCGTGAAAATGATATTAAGTGAAGAGATGTTAACACGAGTAACCCAGAATAAATGATATATGACTGCCAAATCTTCCCATACTAAATGTATACTGTGAACAATACTTAAAAAAAGATTCTACTTACATTATTTGGCAATATTAAAAGCTAAAGTGATGAGTATAAAAATAATTTTAAAAAGCTGCCGGTCAAGAGGTGGTAACCACTTGAATTATCCCACAACTGCTTATAGTATTGTTTAGGAAGAAAACAGCTGATACAAACTACGTTTAAACAGCACTAACTTAACAACTGATTAATCACTGAGAAGTAATCAGTGTCCTGTTTGTCTAGTCCTTTCGTGCTGATCTAATTCTATTGATCAAGTTGGAGTGTGATCACTTAAGTGGTTCGACATTGTGATCACTCGGTTGAGATATCAGGTGGTTGAAAGCTCCCAACAAGATTTCCGGGATTGGATTGAAAAAGCAGGGAGGTGGGCAGTTTATAAGAAAGAGTTGTGCTATGATGGCTTTGTGTGGGAATAACATTTATTAGTGAGTCACGATTCTTTCGGATTCTAGAGTCCATACAGTCCGTAAGCTTGCGGTGTTTTCAGATATAGCTCAGAGTAGAAGATATAGACAATCCGGATATGGTTTGTGACTACATTTTTCATAGAAATGAAATGAACTTCCATAACTAAAAGAAGTCTTTCGAACTGTACTTTCAACCGAACTGTATCTCTCATGAAAAACCACTCTTGTTCATTTATTTTCAGTTTGTACTACTCCTCTCTCCTTTATTTCTTTGTAAGTTGTCGCTTTGTTTGTGTATGCATATGCAAAATAAAACATAATCAAACTTGGATACGAAATAAGTGATTTGAAGCTGACTTTGAACATTGATAGTAATTATGAAGTTATGCAACCGTGATTGCGTTACTCAACCAACAGCTTTTGTTCATTTGGTATGTACATTTAGTGTATTTAACAATTCTTTACATAAACTTCTAGCGTTCCCAAGTTAGAAATTTTTCAAGTACACTCCGTTAACTCAAGAAAGGAACAAATTGCCGGATAGGTTACAGAACTTCTGCCGGATAATTTAACATAATAATAACACTCACCGAGACTGTTGTCAATTACAACACCGCACAGGTGAATAATCCAATTCATTGAATCTGCGAAAATATGTAAGGTTAAGGAGTTTTGTTACACAATCGTAAAATTAAGGAGCATGATCAGAAACTTAATAATATTGTAAGATTTTTTGGTATTTGTGTATGCGTATGTAAGAGTGGGAAAATCCTTCATACATGCATAATATATGAAATCAGTATTTTGTTTCACATTGATCACTAGGTTTTTCTTCTAATCTATTTTTCGTATATCATATTTAATCTTCGATACAGGACAAGGTTAGGGTACATATTTATTTACAACTGCGTTTCTTCTACAGTATTATTTCTTTTTTGGTACATTTTAGCTGATAGTGCTTTTTTGGCCTCTGAATATAGCGGCTGCCATACTGATTTATCGCTTTTTGACTACCTTTGCTTGAACTAATTGATTTGAATTGTTCATTTATGGATTGAAGTACGTTTCCAGTTTGTTGGAAGTCCCTACGATTCTCAGCGGGTAGTTAACATTCACGATTCTTTATGTTTTTTGAACTTATCACCCTGTAATTCACGTTTGAGTGTACTAAAATTAGCTAGCCAGTATGGTAAAACCGTGTTCTTTCCGTCACAGGATACATCATTATTCTCTGATGGGTAATTAGTTTTATAGTTTTTAATATTTCTTGCAAATGATATTTTTACGCCTTGGTTGTATTCGATTTCCAGAACGAAAACTGACTGTACAGCCCACTTCCTAAAACTATTTAATTATACTGTATGATCCACACCTTCATACCTGTTTAATAACAAATTGGTACCATACTTGTTTACCAAATCACGATGTTTATGCAATATCAAGTAGTGTATGTCACTAACTAGAAAATTGGGTATTGCAGCTTACAGTTCGAAAACTCTAGCATTTCTGGTCGTTACAAATTTGGTGGATGATAGGTTAAGCAAATCAAACTTAATGACACCACTAGGTTAGTTGTAACTTTGAAGGGTTTACGGAATCATGGCAAATAAAATAAACCTAGTAACTCATTATTTTGAAGGTTACAAATTGTAAAACGGAAAATAGACAGAATGAGATTTACATTTATATCAAGGATACATAAATCGATAGGAATTTGAGCATCCAAGTTTGTTGATAATGAGGGAATGACTGAAAAGCAAAATCAAAATACGTTAAGCAGATAGTTTACGGTTCCCAAAAAGAGCTATTAACACTGATTTGCAGATTATTACATAATAAAACATTGATAATGTGAGATACATTTAGAAACTTAAGTCAACCCATAAAAGGAAAAATTAAGAGATACGAATACCTACAACAAGATATGATCGAATTTCACCAAATTTGGTAGTTTGAGCTTTTTACTACGGCATTTAGCATATTTCTAAATGACTGATAATGAGTTATAATATTCAATGGTTACAGTTTGGTCATTGAGTATTCACAGAAAATGAAGTGCATACAACCGAATTCGAATATGAAAATGAACGTCACTGAACACCAATATTTTCGTATACTCGTCATCTAGAATTGCTCAATTTCAAGTTCGAATGCAATATTTATATTTATATTTTCCTAGAGTGCCTCGGAAATCAGGGTTATATGGACAAAAGTTTCTATAAAGCATACATGGTAGGGCAAAGAGCCCATAATTGGTGGTTTAGTTACGTTTGTAGAAAAAATATGTAAACGTAGCATGTAGAAGTGATGAACATCAAAACAGATAAAAAATGTTTAATCTAATACACTCCAAGAACAGACAGCACCGAGTATTTACAAAAATGTATTTGTTCTGTACTATAATACTACTATTAATTGACAGTGCAGTACAAGCACAATCTGGACCACTTCAAGTAGATATTACTTCTTGAACCACTGTGCAATAGTGTGTGCTATGGAAGTTAAGTGACAAAAATGTTTCGCAGATTTCTAAGATCTAACAGTGATGAGTTTAAATGGCAACTCAATACACACTCTACTGACTTAAACTACATGCCATACTACAGAATTATATGACAACTAAATGCGTCATTCTAGTCCTATTAGTTATCTCGTCCTATTTCACGTAACTAATTCAGAGCTCGTATGTTATTTTTTACATAATGTGGTTGTTCATGTCTCTGTCTGTTTAAAAAAATCGACTATATCACCTATATTAATTGTACGAAACATCACTTAACTCCATTCCATTGAATTGGACGATTATCTAGTTATATTACAAGTGGTCTACGAACAATTTAATTACTAAATCAATACTCTTATTTACATTGTGTTAAATAAGTTACTGATTGTTGTCGAAGTTGAAGTACGAACTCATTAATATAGACAGCACACAGAACAGATATTCAGTAATCCGAGGTTTTTAGTGGTATCTTAGTTGTGATAAACCTGGGATGAATACAACCCACAAATCAAACCAATCTCCACAAAACTTCAACTAAACATATGCATTTTATCAAGAAATTGTTGAGCAGGAGAGACGCACTTTTAGTGAAAAGACTGAATGGTGCAATCGAAATATCACGTAATATAGGTGAATGATGAATTACATTGCGAACGGTTCCATTAAGGGCGATATCAAAAACTGACGTAACCTGGTAAAGAAATAATAATACGGGAAAAATAGAAACATCACAATAGTATAAAACTTCGAAAATTTGTAGGTAGCAGCCCAATAGAGATGTTAGTTGGCAGAGATGATAAAAGACAGATTGTAAGTAATTCATCTGGAAAAAGATACATGCATGATTAGTGATAAATCTGGATTAAAAACATTTTCTGAGTATGTACTTTTACCATAATCTATTCAAAAATGAAGCATGATATTTAAACTAAAGTGACACGATGAAACTAAAATAATTTATTATGTGACTTATACCACAAAGTCTAAACTTTTTGTCAAAATGAATTGTGTAGATTAAGCCAGGTGATCTCTACATTTATGGATAAAGTTTTTTAGAAAGGACTACTGGTAGTTTCTTACTTATCTTGACAATATTACAGGAACAATTTTATCGCACATTATAATAATCTATAGGTTTTGTGTAAGACGTAAACAACATGATAAGCATATAATTCTCGGCAAAATGTTTACTTTACGATCCACTAAAAGTGGAATATTATGCCATTCAAAATACGACTAAATAAACACAACTCAATTTTATAAACTAAGTGTGATGCCTAAACTTCTCATTCACTAAGAAACCATACAAAATAACAAATAAAATGATTATATATTTTTAAATTACTTAGAAGGCAAAAACATTTAAATTCCGACATTCCGTGACCCATTTCAAGCCACTTCTTCAGAGTAGTGCAACACATTAAGTCAGCTATTTCATATACGCGAGAAACCTTGTACTACATTTGCTTGTTTAATACAACGGTGTGCATAGAAGATGTAGAAATATGATACACAATGAAGATTTTTAATGCATAAACGCAGTTCCAAAAATATACAAAGATCTAATCTGTAAGCGGTTGTGAAATATGTTACTAAAAATGTCCATTCAATATACGTCGAAACGTAAAGGTTTTTACTAGGTATGTTTGGATGTTAGAATGAAGTCGATAAAAAGTCATTTTAGAGATTTACTCTTTTGGCTCGTTCTCTTGGACATTTTGATTACCGACTATCTCTGAGATCACGAGCGTTCGGAGCAATCTGGAAACGGAGACAAATGGAATATATTGTAAGTGCTCATCTTCCTTGGATGCTGCTTCCCCATATCCAGGATTATCTACCTTGCAAGAATTATGATCAGAGTAACGTTTTAAAAATTGTGATATAGAGACAAGACTAACCACATGTTTTTTCTATATTAGAAAAATATGTTTTATGAGTACCTAACAAACGGATAAGCACCTGATAAACACTTAAGGCAATCGAATATTAATGAAACTACGTACACACAACATCCAAGTCAGCTTAAAGAGCAACATCTTAACATCCCTAATCCATTAGCTATTGAGAAGGGAAGATTCGTTTATAATCTATTATTAACAAAGGATTCAGATATAGGAGATTAAATGAGTAGTGATAAACATGTTTACTAAAATAATCCATAGTGTCATTGAATAAGAAAAAGAATTCAGCGAAGAAAATTTTCTTTTCGACGAAATGATTTACTTAAGCTGTACATTCGTATATATAGTTATATGGAAAATGTATGTCTATAGAAGGATATAATGGATTGTATCACAAAAATGGATTCGACAATAAATAACAAATGAGGTTAACGTACTAATCAAGGGGTAAGGAAGAACAAAATTGACGGATATAAAGAAAAACGACAAAACAACAAAGGTCATAATAATAGACTGAATAATAATCAAGAAAACTTGTAAAAGGTAATAATAATAAATGATTAGAGTTTAAAGTGCAAAATAGTAATAATAAAAGTGCATTAAAAAAACACACCTGGAAACATACCCATTAAGGGAATTAGGGCCAGGGAAGGATGAGAGGTTGGACAAATCGTTTCTGCATGCAAAGTTCAGGCTTTAGTTTGTGGATTGCCAATGCCTCTGCGATGCATGAAATATTGATTCGAACCCCCCTTCGATCCAGTTTCTTTGAGTCTGTAAACTATCTTAAACGATGAGTCTTTTGGAGCGAATGGTTAGTTAACATTCTACAACCTGTTAAAAATCATATCAACAAACACAATTCTCTTGATTCCTTTGACTTTGTCGACTCCATTAGAAATATCAATGGATCCGGTAAGAAAGTGTTCTCATTAGACCTCACTTCTCTTTTTTCAAATGTTCCCCTCACAGAAACCATTTGCTTATTATGTGACTATATTGAAAACTATAATCTTGATATGTGTATCTCGAAACATTACCTTAAAAAACTAATTCTACGATGTACGCTCAACGTGCAATTCAGATTTAATGATGTTTTCTATAAACAAATAGATGGAGTTGCAATGGGCTCTCCATTGGGTCCTCTCCTGGCTGATTGTTTTATGGCAAACCTAGAAAATTCGGTACTTCGACCAATAATTGAAAGGTTTCATTTATATAAAAGATATATGGATGACACTTTCATTATTTGCGAAGAAGATAGTGACCTCAATGATATTTTGAATATTTTCAATAACTACCACCCATCAATCCAATTCACCTTAGAAGCAGAGACAAACCAAGAATTTCATTTTCTTGATATCCATTTAAAAAGAATGCCTGACGGTTTATTACAAAGATCGATATACAGAAAACCCACTTGGAATGGACAATACACGAACTTCCACAGTTGGGTTCCATTAATTAGAAAAAGGAATTTAATTCATTCTTTATCCTCAAAGATCAGGCGAATTTGTTCCAATGACACAATAGATGGGGAACTATTTTATCTTCGACAGACCCTCATCAAAAATGGTTATCCACCGAGATTCATCGATAGAAACTTGGTACCTAGACCTCATGACAAAGCATTGACAGTAAAGAAAAAAACTCTATTTATGAATATGGAATTTAAGGGAGATACGGCTGCTGAAATCCTAAATAAACGGATTTCGAAATCATTGAATATAAACATTCCACGCAGCTAAGCTTCGAATCATCTCTAGCCGACCTACCATTCTGGGGTGTGTTAAGGACAAACTTTCGCTTTGGGCCACTTCAATGTGTATCTATAAATTTACTTGCTCATGTGGGGTATGTTACATAGGCCGCACAAAGCGATCATTATTCAAACGCATCTCGGAACATTATCCGGCTTGGCTCTTGAAGGGGGAGCGAAAAACAATCACGAGTTCTATACAGGAGCACTTAATCAACTGTGGACATATCGCTCCAAAAGACTCATCGTTTAAGATAGTTTACAGACTCAAAGAAACTGGATCGAAGGGGGGTTCGAATCAATATTTCATGCATCGCAGAGGCATTGGCAATCCACAAACTAAAGCCTGAACTTTGCATGCAGAAACGATTTGTCCAACCTCTCATCCTTCCCTGGCCCTAATTCCCTTAATGGGTATGTTTCCAGGTGTGTTTTTTTAATGCACTTTTATTATTACTATTTTGCACTTTAAACTCTAATCATTTATTATTATTACCTTTTACAAGTTTTCTTGATTATTATTCAGTCTATTATTATGACCTTTGTTGTTTTGTCGTTTTTCTTTATATCCGTCAATTTTGTTCTTCCTTACCCCTTGATTAGTACGTTAACCTCATTTGTTATTTATTGTCGAATCCATTTTTGTGATACAATCCATTATATCCTTCTATAGACATACATTTTCCATATAACTATATATACGAATGTACAGCTTAAGTAAATCATTTCGTCGAAAAGAAAACTTTCTTCGCTGAATTCTTCTTTTTCTTAAACATGATTACATTTAACGTTGAACAATAACTAGCTGAAGATCAGCATCTAGAAACGAGATTTCTCTTATTCCAATACCTATATTGATGTATTTAGTTAAAGCACTTTCATTATACAAAACAAGGAAGCAATACCAATAACAAGACATCGTTTTATTATTAAATTGAGAAATACGAGTAAAACACACCACCGGTATATCTATTTTTAGAGGATTAATCTAAAGAAAATCCAGTCCACGCAATGAACATTATGTGTAATGACCACTGCAGTAACTGGCATGAGACCATATAATTGTGAGAATAAAACAGTGAAATATTTCACAAGCGAATATAACTGTATATACACACCTTTCTGCTCTGATAGTGTACCATGAACAGGTTATCCAATACACTGAATGACACAGGACCCTGAAAATCTAAAATTACGAGGTGTGTCAATACGATGGGATCTTCTCTAGAATAAAAAGGGATCCAATAAACTCCAGAAACAGAATGCTCACATTTTTAAAGTATAAAAACTAATAGTTCGGGTAAGATTTGGTTCGTTATGTAGCTTTACGTAGCGAAGAGTACCAAAGTACAAATCCTCATATCTGAAAAGAAAAGTTAAAAAGTACAAGAACCTACTTACAATAAAGCTAAAAAACAGTGTTTCTGTTCAATCGATATGGTATCACCATTGGCCCCTACCGATGTAGGAGACAGAAACTTTGGTCCTTTTGTGATTGTGCCGGGTGTCTATAAGATAGGAAAAAGATTATTGAAGATTTTCAATCTAAAATAAAAAGTTAACGAAATTAGCAGTAACCTTGTTGTTCAAAAATATCTTTAATGAGCGAAAAAATACTTTAATTTCCAATCTGTTGTCAATGAAGATTATGTGGGTTTACAATCTTCTAAGAAAGAAAATACTGAAACAAATATGAATATTTACTGATTGAGAAAGATTGATTCAAAATCAAATTTTGATATTTTTATGTGACTCGAATGAATAAAATATGTAGTACAATTCACCTCTTATTCATTATTACAATGGCTAATTAATAAATATGAATTCCAATAAGCTTATTTGTCGACTAATTCATTTTGGATCTGATTAAAACTCCTTGAAGTGGTTAAAATAACTTGAAAGTACTCTAAAAACATGGGGTACACAAATACCGTGTAAACATTTTTTTAATTATTTAAATTTTGGCTTTATGAAGGAAGACTTTCTCTTTAACATTTATTATTTTCTACATTATCAAACTAACTGTTTGCCGATACGATGGACTGATGACTCACGAGTTTTTCCACTTGATTCCTCCAGTCATCAGATATGCGACAAAGGATAGTGACATACACAATTTTGTTTAGAAAAATAACTGAGTTCCGCTGAAAATGGTATACGTTGAAAAGTCGGAATAGTTGCCGGATTTTTAAACACAGAAATTTCAACTCCATCTTACCTTAAGTTGAAACATATGTAGTTTCTTTTCTCGGTCTGAAGTGATACAAATATGTGTCTCTGGGTTCCATAAAAACCAGGAAGTGTTCAGAGGTAAATAACTATTTAAGCGTAGAGTATTCTTCTCAGGTAATACCTAATATGATATAGAAACAAGAACGGTTTGAAATGCTGACTTATACGGAGAAACAATAAGGTGAAACATGGAAAGTTAAAACCAACCACAGCCTTCAACCTAAAGATCTGATCCACAAGGCAGTGCAGCAACGTAAGGAGATGCAGTCCCATGGTAGACGGTGACCAACAATTACTTCATACGCCATTTGTTCCCTCGGGATATTGGAGTCCATGTGCACCATTGATTTGGAATCAGGGTTTTCCCACACTCCTAAGTGAACCCTCCGTGTCCACCAACCCACCTAAAGCGCCTGACATTCGCTTATCGTCCTCTCAATTTCGTAAACCACATCTTTACCGTGAGAAGTTAGTGAGTACGACTCTCCTGACAGTGGCTGTATACTCATGGCCATATGAGAGCATTTCGAGAAGGAGAGCTGACTCTGCTCATCCTCAGCCGTATCAGGGCATGTAAGACATGAATGACAATCGTTGAGTAAGAAACTGAACATCGGTTGCGAAAAATATAAAATTTTGAAGAGAACGTGATGTAACCGAACTTTATCTATTTATTTGAACACATAAACATTGGTACAAGAGAGCGCCAATATATATGCGTCACACAAAACAATGCGAATTCGCAGAGAAAGAAAGAAAAAGGTAAAGGGCGCAAACAAAAGAGATCAATAACGAGGAGATTGGTGCAAGGTACTGTAGTAATAATAATAGCAATAGTGAAGGAACGAGAAGGTACAATCAGAAATCTTTCAGTTAAGGGAGACACAATCACTTTTTATGAAGAAAGTAAATGAAAGTTACAGCAGGATCACCACTGGCTTCTGTTCTGAGCCATGCCTGATAACATATCAAACCATTGTGTTGCTCCATCTCTAGGACCACAACTAGGGAGTCGTGAAGGACCGACAGAAGCCAGTCCTTTGCAGCTTTCTTTCATGCCACGACACCGTATCATACACTGACCACCTCTTCACTTTTTCCAACCAGTCCCAGAGTCGGCAAATAATGCACGACGTGGAGTTCTCTGGGACGACATTCGTAGAACATGTCCAAGCCACCGAAGTCGGTGTTTCAAGATGGTGACACCAATTGCATTATCATCTCTGTGCCCGAACACACGAGGGCTAACCTCTGCATTACTGACATGGTGTTGCCACTGGATGTCAGCAATCCTTCAGAGACAGCTATGATCGAACACAGAGAGTCGTCTAACGTCCTCAACTCGGAGAGACCAGGTTTCACAAGCATAGAGCAGAACTGCTCCCACCGATGCGTTGTAGATCCGACCTTTTACAGCCAGACTAACATCACGAAAGCGCCAATGGTGGCCCAGATTGACATAAGCCACTCTGGCTTTCACTATACGTAGATTGATCTCATCATCGCCACCACCAACAATTGTGCAGCTACCTAGATATACGGACTTCTCAAGTACTTCTATTTGCTCACTGTCCAGGGTGAGTACAGGAATAGAATCCTGCCAGTCTTGTAGAATTACTTTGCACTTCGATGGTGTAAAGCACATACAATATCTACGAACACTAATTGTCATTGCCTGGACTCAGATTGATCACATCGCGATCAGCTACGGCTGGCGTGGTTGTGTACAAGACTGCCGCTCCTTTTGGAGTACCTATCTGGACTCTGACCATGCTTTGGTCTGTGCCAATCTCACCTTACTTTTCAGTGGACAACGAAGTGACCGCCATCAACGGGTTGATGTTGGCAAGCTGGTTGCAACTTTTGTTGCTAGCAAGTATCGAACAGAGCTAGTTTCTAGGCTAGCTACCATTCCACCGAAAAGTATAGATGAGCATTGGTTGCGATTGCATGACGCCATGAAAATGGCAGGTACAGTCAGTTGTGGGTTCGCGAAACGTTCCGCTTATAAGCACTGGGTTTCTTCAGGCTCCTTACAACTCATCGACGCCCGTCGGTCTACTCCGGGTGACCGTGAGTTTGACCATAAACGAAGGATGTTATGTAATGAAATTGGGCAAAGCTTGCGTAAGAACCGAGAAGCCTGGTGGTCGGAGCGCGCTAATGAGCTGGAAGCAGCAGCTGCATCTGGTAACTACCGGAAGCTCTTCCAGCTCATCCGAGCCACTGGCAGCAAGAAGTCTGGTGTGAGTGGAACAATCTGCGAGGATGATGGGATGCCAATCACTAACATCCATCGACGTCTTGGACGGTGGGCAGAATTTTTCGAAGGGCAGTTCAACTGGCCTGCTGCTCCGGCAACATCGGTCAGACTGTCCTGCCCTCCATGGCCGGTGACGACTGATCCACCAAATAAGGAGGAAGTCCGCAAGGAACTCCAACTCTTGAAGCGTTACAAATCACCTGGCCCAGATGACTTACCTCCGGCTCTTTTTAAAAATGGTGGTGACTTTCTGACTAAGGAATTGACGACGTTGTTTACAAAGGTTTGGGAGTTAGAGAGTGTACCAACGTCATGGAATGAGTCGATAGTTGTCCCTATCTTTAAAAAGGGTTCACGCCGTTCCTGTAACAACTATCGGGGGATAAGTCTACTTCCGATTGCGTCTAAGCTATTGGCTTCCGTCATACTTCGTAGGTTGTTCAAAACCCGAGAAAGATTGACTCGCGAGAAGCAGGCTGGGTTTCGTTCTGGTCGAGCATGCATTGATCATATCTTCACTCTCCGCCAAATGTTAGAACACCGCCATACTTATCAAAGGCCAACAATCTTAGTGTTTCTTGACATCAGGGCTGCCTTCGATTCGTTGGATAGGACTGTTCTCTGGGATTGTCTATTGAAGAAGGGTGTGCCTGAGAAGTTTATTAACATCCTAAAAGCCCTATATAAAAACACTTCAGGTAGAGTGAGGGCATACAACCACCTCTCTCCGTTGTTCCATTCGAGCAGTGGGGTTAAGCAGGGTTGCCCAATCTCACCATTCCTCTTCAACTTTGCTATCGATGACATTCTGGAAACAGCTCTGATGAATGTAAGTAATGGTGGTGTGGATCTGTTGCCTGGAGAAAGACTTCTCGACCTTGAGTATGCGGATGATATTGTCTTACTGTGCGATAATGCCCAAGGCATGCAATCCGCACTTAATCGGTTGGCAATCAGTGTCCGTAGGTATGGTATGTGCTTTGCACCTTCGAAGTGCAAAGTACTTCTACAAGACTGGCAGGATTCTAATCCTGTACTCACCCTGGACGGTGAGCAGATAGACGTAGTTGAGAAGTTCGTGTATCTGGGTAGCTGCATAAGTGCTGGTGGGGGTGTGAGTGATGAGATCAATGCACGAATAGTGAAAGCCAGAGTGGCTTATGTCAATCTAGGCCACCTTTGCCGCCTTCGTGATGTTAGTCTGGCTGTAAAAGGTCGGATCTACAACGCGTCGATGGGAGCAGTTCTGCTCTATGCTTGTGAAACCTGGTCTCTCCGAGTTGAGGACGTTAGACGACTCTCTGTGTTCGATCATAGCTGTCTCCGAAGGATTGCTGACATCCAGTGGCAACACCATGTCAGTAATGCAGAGGTTAGCCCTCGTGTGTTCGGGCACAGAGATGATAATGCAATTGGTGTCACCATCTTGAAACACCGACTTCGGTGGCTTGGACATGTTCTACGAATGTCGTCCCAGAGAACTCCACGTCGTGCATTATTTGCCGACTCTGGGACTGGTTGGAAGAAGCGTAGAGGTGGTTAGTGCATGATATGGTGTCGTGGTATGAAAGAAAGCTGCAAAGGACTGGCTTCTGTCGGTCCTTCACGACTCCCTGGTTGGGGTCTGAGAGATGGTGCAACACAGTGGCCAGTGACGTTATCAGGCATGGCTCAGAATAGAAGCCAGTGGCGATCCTGCTGTAAACTTTTACTTTCTTCATAAAAAGTGATTGTGTCTCCCTTACCTGAAAGATTTCTTCTGATTGTACCTTTTCGTTCCCTCGTTACTACCACACTACCTTTACACCAATTTCTTCGTTATTGTTCTCTTTTTCTTTTGCGCTCATTAGTTATTTTTTGTTGTTGTTTTTTGTTTTTGTTTTTTTGTACTTCTCTTCGAATCTTCATTGTTTTGTGTGGCGCATATATATTGGCGCTCTCTTGTACCAATATCATGTGTTCAAATAAATAAATAAATAAATAATGTTAATAAACTTCTCAGACACACCCTTCTTCAACAGACAATCCCAGAGAACAGTCCTATCCAACGAATCGAAGGCAGCCCTGATGTCAAGAAACACTAAGATTGTTGGCCTTTGATAAGTATGGCGGTGTTCTAACATTTGGCGGAGAGTGAAGATATGATCAATGCATGCTCGACCAGAACGAAACCCAGCCTGCTTCTCGCGAGTCAATCTTTCTCGGGTTTTGAACAACCTACGAAGTATGACGGAAGCCAATAGCTTAAACGCAATCGGAAGTAGACTTATCCCCCGATAGTTGTTACAGGAACGGCGTGAACCCTTTTTAAAGATAGGGACAACTATCGACTCATTCCATGACGTTGGTACACTCTCTAACTCCCAAACCTTTGTAAACAACGTCGTCAATTCCTTAGTCAGAAAGTCACCACCATTTTTAAAAAGAGCCGGAGGTAAGTCATCTGGGCCAGGTGATTTGTAACGCTTCAAGAGTTGGAGTTCCTTGCGGACTTCCTCCTTATTTGGTGGATCAGTCGTCACCGGCCATGGAGGGCAGGACAGTCTGACCGATGTTGCCGGAGCAGCAGGCCAGTTGAACTGCCCTTCGAAAAATTCTGCCCACCGTCCAAGACGTCGATGGATGTTAGTGATTGGCATCCCATCATCCTCGCAGATTGTTCCACTCACACCAGACTTCTTGCTGCCAGTGGCTCGGATGAGCTGGAAGAGCTTCCGGTAGTTACCAGATGCAGCTGCTGCTTCCAGCTCATTAGCGCGCTCCGACCACCAGGCTTCTCGGTTCTTACGCAAGCTTTGCCCAATTTCATTACATAACATCCTTCGTTTATGGTCAAACTCACGGTCACCCGGAGTAGACCGACGGGCGTCGATGAGTTGTAAGGAGCCTGAAGAAACCCAGTGCTTATAAGCGGAACGTTTCGCGAACCCACAACTGACTGTACCTGCCATTTTCATGGCGTCATGCAATCGCAACCAATGCTCATCTATACTTTTCGGTGGAATGGTAGCTAGCCTAGAAACTAGCTCTGTTCGATACTTGCTAGCAACAAAAGTTGCAACCAGCTTGCCAACATCAACCCGTTGATGGCGGTCACTTCGTTGTCCACTGAAAAGTAAGGTGAGATTGGCACAGACCAAAGCATGGTCAGAGTCCAGATAGGTACTCCAAAAGGAGCGGCAGTCTTGTACACAACCACGCCAGCCGTAGCTGATCGCGATGTGATCAATCTGAGTCCAGGCTTGAGATGCAGAGGGAGGACCCCAGGTGGCACATCGAAAGTTATTGCTAGCCAGAAATAGGTTGTGGTCTGTGCACAGTTGTAGTAGACGGTCCCTGTTTTCTGACCTGCGACCAACGAGTCCCCATCGTCCACCTAAACGACTCTCTTCTGTGCCTAGACGCCCGACCTGAGCATTCAAGTCTCCGGCTAGTACTACAATATCTGTCGAACGCACTTTCTGGAGAAGAACAGATAACTGGTGGTAAAACTCATCCTTGATTGCATCCGGGCTGCAATCTGTCGGAGCATAGGCGGAGATGACGAAAAGACATCGTTTATCACACCGATTTCTTCTCACTTTGATGGAACTTTCTAATCTAACAGCACATAACCGACTGTTAATGGGGATCCAATCGAGTAGTGATGAACAAATATGATGAACTACCTAAATTAACAGAAATGCCGGTCATTGCTGAATTTCGGAAACTATGAAAATAACTCAATGTTCTTTAGTACCAACGTATAACAATCGACAGCTACATAAGGCATTACAAAACACTAAACACAGTTGAAACCAAACTTTTAATCTACTGAACACTTCAACCAATAAATCACTAAAGATTTAAGTCAAACCCTACTTAAGTTACCTGGATTTCTGAAGATGAATGAATAAAACCTCATCTTTAACTATGTGGTAACAAGTTTGAGACCTGCAATATAAACTATAATTCAGAAAATTGAGTAGTGTGACTTGACTTTAGGAAAGCTTTGACTCGGAGACAAGTTCGTGAGACGGTGGGACGCCATACTTTTACCGTGCTTCTGGTATTCGTTTAAGGCTGGATCAAATCATGTTACTCCCACATTGAAAATGGTGGGTTTTTACACTCATATCATCTTTGTAAACGGGTACTAGGTAAGGATGGCAAATCATTTGATGAAGTAGTGAAACTTCATCAGTTGAGATGGCTGGGACACGTGTTACGTATGCCCAACGACCGACTGCCTCGACGTGCTATATTCAGTGGTATAGGAGTAGGTTGGAAGAAAGCTAGAGGCGGCTAAACCAAAACATGGCACAAGTCCATGAAGTCACTGACAAGTGGACTGAGTCATGTTTGTAGGTATAGACTACCTGGTTGGGGTCCACGAGATGATAGCAACCGATGGTTAGAGACCCTGAATGACATGGCTCAAAATCGTTTGCAATGGCGCAGGTGCATACAATCTTTGTGTTCTCCCAAATTCTAATCTTCTGAATTCTTTATGTCCCTTTTTTCCTCTTTCCAAATTTGTTTCACTGGATTATACTCCTTGAATAACATCTCCAAACCCTAATCTTCCCGATTACTGCTTATACTCTTGCTACCTCTACCACTACGGGATTTGAATCGACAACTGCATCTCTGTGCTAATGTGGTGTGGCAACTCGAACTGATGTACGTACGTACGAAGTTCTACATTGTTACTGACTGACTGACGCTTCATCGACTGAAATGGTTGGGCCACGTGTTACGTATGCCCGAACACCGATTACCACGACTAGCAATGCTAACCGGTGTTCGGGATGGTTGGAAGAAAGTTAAAGGCGACCAAACCAAAACGTGTCATCAGAGCTTGAAGTCACTAACTTCTAGTCTGAGTCATGTTGGTAGATGCAGACTACTTGGCTGGGGTCCGCGTGACTATCGTAACCAATGGTTGGAGACTCTTGGTGACATTGCTCAGAATAGATCACGCGCAGAGACAGATGACAATTAGTGTTCGTAGATATAATATGTGCTTTACACCATCGAAGTGCAAAGTAATTCTACAAGACTGGCAGGATTCTATTCCTGTACTCACCCTGGACAGTGAGCAAATAGAAGTACTTGAGAAGTCCGTATATCTAGGTAGCTGCACAATTGTTGGTGGTGGCGATGATGAGATCAATCTACGTATAGTGAAAGCCAGAGCGGCTTATGTCAATCTGGGCCACCTTTGCCGCCTTCGTGATGTTAGTCTGGCTGTAAAAGGTCGGATCTACAACGCGTCGATGGGAGCAGTTCTGCTCTATGCTTGTGAAACCTGGTCTCTCCGAGTTGAGGACGTTAGACGACTCTCTGTGTTTGATCATAGCTGTCTCCGAAGGATTGCTGACATCCAGTGGCAACACCATGTCAGTAATGCAGAGGTTAGCCCTCGTGTGTTCGGGCACAGAGATGATAATGCAATTGGTGTCACCATCTTGAAACACCGACTTCGGTGGCTTGGACATGTTCTACGAATGTCGTCCCAGAGAACTCCACGTCGTGCATTATTTGCCGACTCTGGGACTGGTTGGAAAAAGTGAAGAGGTGGTCAGTGTATGATACGGTGTCGTGGCATGAAAGAAAGCTGCAAAGGACTGGCTTCTGTCGGACCTTCACGACTCCCTAGTTGTGGTCCTAGAGATGGAGCAACACAATGGTTTGATATGTTATCAGGCATGGCTCAGAACAGAAGCCAGTGGTGATCCTGCTGTAACTTTTATTTACTTTCTTCATAATAAGTGATCGTACCTTAAACTGAAAGAATTCTTTTCGGTTGTATTTTTGCAAAGTGAACTACTTCTCCTATTATCACCATTATTGTTTCGCTATCATACATTAATTTCTGTTCGTTGATGTTTTCGTTTTTCCTGTACGCACCATAGATACTCTCTCTTCACAGCCTCATAAAAATCCGAGAAATCAGAATTTTGGCATACGGTTCGTCCAAGTTCAGGAGACGAACATAAATAACTTTTTTTTAAATATAGTAACATTTTCCGAAACCTTAAAATAACGATAACACTACATAATATAGTCGTTTCTAAACCTAGATACTTGTTACAATTCTCTGTAAATAGTTTTCACTAACTGTCAGCTCATACTTGGGATTAATCTCAGGGAGAGTGAAACTAGGTTACACAAAGCAAAAGTTTATCGGACGTTAAAAAAGTAAAATTACTTGATATAACTCCAGTTGTTCGTTTGTGACAAAAAGGACCTCATAGTTGGAACACCACACAAATCCCAGAAGCGTTGCTGATTTATTCTACACACGAAAACGTGAGAAGTTACTATAAGAAATAAGGTAACCTTGCATTCTTGAGAATACTGTACACCCCTGGGGCAATTGGCTTGAAAATTTAAAAAGTCAACCGATCGATAAGTCCGCTGAATTCCCAAGATTTTGTTGTCCTCAGAAAACTTAATACTCAAAACTTCGCCTTGATCATCTATGCTGTGATACGAAAACCCATAAAAATAAAAATAAACGAAATTATCTAAAGATACAGCAAGGACGATATGGCTAAAAGACATCCTGGGTAGACAAATGCAGGATATTTTTCATACACAGAAAAAATAGCTAAGTTGTGCAGTGACTAATGTAGTGTTGTCCCCCAATCTGTTTTTTACTATAATGTGTAACACTAATACCGGAAAAATTCAATGTTCAGATATTTTTAACCGTAGCAAATTAGATGGTAGACAAATCAGTTATTACTTAGAAAGCTTAGAAAATTTGGACACTTTTATTATATACTCAGAACTATTTTCCATAGGGGAAACCAAGAAAATTAAAATAGACTCAAGTTTGTTAGATGGAGATAGAGACCAGAACAGAAATTGACTGCTGTTGGTCAGGGTGGAAATGGTATAAAACTACCCATCAAGTCATAAGCAATCTAGAACCCGGAATAAATATGCACTAGTGAAAGTCCAACACTCCATAAGCCGAGCGAGGTGAAATCAATAAGGTATTAATGCAACAGAAGTAGCATTATCAGTGATAGTGCAAAAAAAGATGAGATGGCGATTATAATTCGGCAAACGAACTCACAAGGTAAAAGCATGAAGTATTGAAACTCAGAATCTAAGTGAGTGCTTCGGAGCCACCGAGCTCAATGTTCACATAAATACATGAAATAGAACTGATACCGGAAATTTCACTGTATGTAACGTTGGCAAAGGTCGCGCATGTTCGTGCTCGGCGAGACTCTAATTTAGCGACGAGTCAATCAGAAGCGTTTGAGCAATTTCAAGGTCACGGAGCCAAGTTCAACACGCGATGCTAACATACGGTCGGTTCACTGCGCATTTTAGAGAGGAGGTGATTAATGAGAGGTTAAAACAGATGAGACGGCGAAACTCTAATTTAGGGACGAGCCAATGAGAAGCGTTTGAGCAATTTCAATTATTAGCCAATCAGAAGACAGTATAAAGTAAAAATATATTACAAGAAAGTTATGAATTACAGTGGATATTCTTCTTTTACATGATTTAAAAACTTGTTGAGGTTTGATAAAGGCTCAGAAGTTCTGAATTCATAATGCATATTGTATAGAAACTCGTCCATAGGGTTAGGGTTTGGGGTTAAAATTAGGGTTAGATTAGGGTTTAGGGTTAGGTTAAGGTTAGGGTTATGGTTAGAGTTAGATTAGGGTTTTGGGCTAAGGTTAGGGTTTGGGGTTAGTTAAGGGTTAGGTTAAGGTTAGGGTTAAGGTTAGATTAGGGTTAAAGTTAGGGTTTAGGGTTAGATTAGGTTTTAGGATTAGGTTAAGGTTGGGGTTAGGGTTAGATTAGGGTTTAGGGTTAGGATGAATTTAGGGTTAGATTAGGGTTTAGTGTTAGGATGAGGTTAGGGTTAGGTTAGGATTAGGGTGCTAACATGCGATCGGTTTACATCGGATTTTAGAGAAGAGGTGTCTATTGACAGGCTACAACCCTAACCACTAACCCTATGGACGAGTTTCTATACAATATGCATTATGAATACAAAGCCTCTGAACCTTTATCAAACCTCAACAAGTTTTTAAATCATGTAAAAGAAGAATATCCACTGTAATTCATTACTTCCTTACAATATATTCGCACTTTATACTGTCTGCTGATTAACTAATAATTGTCAAGGTCATTTAAGATTCGTTCAAAGGTCGTCGCTGAATTAGGGTCTCGCCGGATATGGTTTGGCAGAAATAAAATGAAGTAAAGGATGATCATAGATATATATTTCAACACATCGACTCAGGAAAAACTGAGTAAAAATTCAAGCTCATTGTTGAAGTAAGCTCAAACGTATACTTTCGTTTGGAACTACTGTTAATTACAGTTGAATATAAAAATTTAGGGAATGACGACTTGAAGGTCTCCACAACAAGATTACTTAAGATTTCCGGTCAATCAGTTATGACCGAAATACTTTCGAATAGAATATACCTTACCGAAAATTCAAAACCAAATCATCAACAACAGATTTGACATTGACACCCATCGTACCACGACTCCTGAGAGTAAATATCTACAAACATTTACATGATAAAATCAGAGTTACGTGTTTCCGAGCATCGTCAAAGTAAACACTATTAAGTGTGTCAAGTGGTTCGAAAACAGTTACTTTCGTCGATAAGTACAGAAAAGAATCGCAATTTTCACCAGCCAGCTTTATGTAACGCCCTATTTGATTATGGTGCCAGTAACAAATGTCACTGTAACGAGTTGGTGTAAACGGTTGAGGGAGCTCGGTATTGTAGAGGAAGTGACTAGCATGAACTTCTTTCGATAATAACTCTTTTCATCACACACATTTCTTGTAATTTCACTTGTTTGTACAATTACTGAAATTTACCACATAGTTGTTGTGTTAGTTTGGCCATGAGCTTTCCTTTTCGTTTCCGCTTACAAGATAAACTGATTATCACCCACAAGTAGAATTCTTCCCACAAAATCCCCAGTTAATCCTCTGTCTCATGAATAGATCGTTAACATAATTACCATATACGTTTGTAGACCCTTATCTATGTACTCATTACTGATTTGTCGTGAATCGAGGTAGTCAACAGGAAACCCTAGACCAGGGTTTCACGCTACTTGGCACTCGTCAGCAAGGTTTACCTGTTATCGTGAGGGAACTGATGCTCCCTGATGGATTCGATTCCGTGTCAACCAGCTTCAAAGACTGGGATTTTACCACTAGGATATCTGAGTGCCGAGTAGCATGAAGCTCTGGTCCAGGGTTTCCTGCTGACTACCTCTGACCACCATCTAATGTCAACATAATGCACGCAATGTCGAGTCCGCTAGACTAGTGACCACATTGCGACTTGGTCGATAGCATTCAATCTGCACTAGGAAGGACTTGACATATATGACATTGATCACCACCCAGTGATCAATCAATTGTGATCATCACTGATTTGTCTCTGGCATATATTACTTTGGATTAGATTACGTATTTGGACTTATCGACTACTTATTAGAAAACTGAACACACCATTATTTTTCAGATTTTACTGGAATCACGACCTAAAAAATTTCTATTCATTATATGGTTACTTCTAAGACGCCTACACTATGGCACATGAAGGCTCACTGATTTCAGACGCTCTTTATAAGGCTTAAATCTGAGTCCCCGAACTGATTTCCAGCTAACCGTTGCATAAGTTCCAATGTATCCATATCCTTCCGGTGTGAGGAGGAAATAGTATATTTCCATACTCTGAATGAGGTCAAACAAAATTGTCGGAAATTGTGCAGGTTTTCCTGTCAAACTGGCCAAAAATGACCTTCAATGTTATCAGTGCTACGTTAGCTTGGAAAGCATTTTTGTCGCCATTGGCGAAGAATGCAAACTATAAGATATCAAAACTCCTAGATCTCTTTCAACTCGAGACACCCCAAAAGGGGAGTTACCTTAATTATATGTGTAGTCTGCAAAATATCTCAGATGGACTACCTTACATTCTGAAGCGCTAAGTGTTATTCACCAGACTTTAATATCGAGTCAGATCATCCTGAATTGTCAACCTATTATCTTAGTTGCAAACTTCTCTCCAGAATTTCATATCAACAGAAAAAAGTAATAGGTTACATGATATCTACTGAGGATGGCTGTTCAAAAAGATTAGGAAAAGAAGAGGTTCTTGTGGTGAACCCTGAGGGACCACGCTAGAAAATTCAGTAGCCTGACAAAATGTGTAGTTTACCACGACTTTACGAAGCCGATTATTCATGTATGAAGTAAACCAATGTGTTATCATTCTAGATTACTTATGAGATACATATTATTGACACTCTCCAAATTCAATATATATGACATTACACATTTCCTTGCGATCAATGGTGGTTGTTCATATATGCATCACCTTCAGTGGCTTAATTAACTGAAGTGGCTCTTCCTGAAACTGTGTTGTTTGGATAAAAGCAGTTTGTAGAGAACACTTGGTCACGCGAATCGTCATACATCAGAGACTCCATGAGTTTTGAGATAGTGAGAGAAGCTTTACTGGCCTGTAGCTAGAAGGTTCACTGAGGGCTGCAATTAAACGCAACTCAACTTCGTAAATGTGCCCTTCAGCTTAGCAACCAATCAGAATGAGGCGGGAATTATTACATCCGCCATCTTTGTAAGCAATGGCGGTCGGCTTTCTTCGTCCTGTGCTTCTTTCAGCTATTCATTTTATGTAGCTATGTAATTTAATGTTTCAGTGTGCTAAAATGCCGCAGTCAGTGTAATGTTCTATATGTTGGTGTGAAGTTTATTTCGAATCAGCGAAGTTTTCTGGGTTTTTGTTGCTTCTACTCAAGTCAATGTATTTCTTCAGGCAATCTGGCTAGTCTTGTTATAAAATGTCGGCCGGCTTTCTTCGTTCTGTGTTTTTTCCGCTAATTCTTTTGTGTAGCTACAGAATTTAATGTTTCAGTGTGCTAAAATCCAGAAGTTAGTGTAATACTCTAATCGTTGGAGCAAAATTTTTCCTAATTTTGCTTTGTTTTCTGGGTTTTACCTGCTGCTAATGAAGTCACTGTATTTATTCAACTAAGCAGGCTAGTACTAACATAAGACCTTACGTCTTTAAACGACAATCGGTTATGTTTTACCTTGTTTTCTAGATATCCGAAGCCGACGTTTGTTTTTATTTAGCTAAAATAATTGTTGCTGCCGCCTGTGACTCTAACTGTTCGCATGTTCGTTCCTAACTGTCCTTTATGATGTTATCGGCAAAATGAAAGGAAACAATCTGCGTTTTTTAATTTTCTTCAGTATTATGGACAACACTCCCACCAACGAGTCAAACTAATACAGAGTGCCCAGCAGTAGGGTATATCGGTACTGATTTCGAAAGGACCCAGACTTCCGACAACTATAGATGAAGTCACAGATGCTACCAAACTATTGCAGAGGGTTTGTTATTAAAAATATGCCATATAGCAGTAATAGAGGGGTTGTACTCATTACTCAGTGCGTTAAAGCAAGCTTAACATTGAAAAGCCGGAAATCTGCTACCAGTGTCTAGTGTATGTTTGCTGTTTTGGCCATAAAAGGAAGCCGAAGGGTCATGATCAGGGAGTTTAAAGGTAATTAACTGTTGTTAAGCTCACTTTCTTATAGATCATATTTCACTGCCCGCAAATCTGTGTTTTTTTTAAGGTATGACGTCAACCGGAACCTAAAATGTTCACCCTTACGATGAAAAGTACCTGCAAAATTTCACCTTCATATTCGAACTATTTTTGGAGAACTGTCTTCTAGTTTGAGTGCTTCGTACGCCCTAGGGGACTAGATTCCTACATTATTCGTAGTTCCAGTATAAATTTTTCACGCAGTAAGTTCAAAGTAGACACTAGTCTTTCTAAATAAACCTGTTAAGCTAATATCCGTATTCTCTATTTCAGTTAATCGATGAAGACATGTACCATGTGCATCTGCTGTTACTGCCATTTTACTCCAATTCTAACTGTTATATCTTATTTTTGAATAATAAAATTGCTATATGCTGCAAATACAGACTTATTTGTTTTGATGGAGGTAGGCGGGGTCATGGGATTTTCACTAAAGAGCTAAGCGAGTGCGTAAACCAGTGTAAGGTACCATACGGGGTGCATTTGAGTTACTAGTGTTCCATTAGTGCGGGTAGGGGCATTGCTTACTTGTCATATGGCATTTGAATTAGAAGCTATAAGATAAAAAGCAGGTACGGTTAGGATGTGTAACGCGTGTCCATCCATCAGCTGGCGTGACAACCCATGGTGGTTAGAATAAGCTATGAGAGGACCCGAGTCTGTAGGTCTCTCAAGGAAATGACGAGGATATGCACCAAATCACCTTATGAAGAGTGCCTCCAATCACTTAACCTCTACTCATTACAGTATAGACGTCTTAGAGGTGACCTAATGGCTTACAATAACCTTAACACTTCTGGACATCCCCTAAAACACCTAATTAAGCTTAGTTCCAACACTTACCTAAGGGGTAACACCCAGAAACTAGAAACGCAACATAGCAGAACGGACTGTAGGCACAACTTCTCCTCCTTAAGAGTTGTCAAATGCTGGAATTTTCTGCCGGCCGAGCTAGTCCAAGCGACTTCCCAGGAGTCCTTTAAGAGGCAACTGGATTTATTCTTAAGGACTAAGTATAGTATCATACTATGACTTACCAATTTCTTTTATTGTTAACATACCTAGTTTTCTGCCTTGAGGTATTGGTGATCCCCTGCTACTAGACACGAAAGCCTGTTAAGCGAAAGCTACTACGAAGCAGTCAATGAACTTGATATCCAGTCGATGAACATTTCTAATACTTTGCTTAGTCGTCGTGATGAACTACAATCTCAGGGTCAATCAAACTTGCGTTCATTTAACAGTGATTCCTATTCTCGTGTAAATATGAAAGGTGTTTCAACGACGAATTACAAAGCAAATCACAAAGGTGAGATGAAGTTTGGTAAATGTCTATCATGTGGAAAGTTTCATGCTCGCAATCCATGTGTATTTCGTAATGCTAAATGTTTTAAATGTGGTAAGATAGGACACATTTACTCAGTATGTAAAGCTATTGTCCATTTTGCTTCAAGCTGTACTAAATCTTGTAATTTAAATTTAAATAATTCGGATGTTTCTAATGATCATTCATCTTTATCAACGATTTCAAAAGACAGTGCAGAGTCATATGACAGTTCAGAGTTAGATGAAATCCAGAATTCTTGTGAGACAACAGTTCCTAATCAACCGATTTATCAGAATTCTCATGCTATTGTACCAGGTATGACTTTTCCTAATGATTCACATATTTCTAATGAAATTACTTGCAATTCTGAGGAAAATATTTTAAACGAACGTAATGATGATCGGAAACCTGATGTGGTTTGCATAGATGCTGATTTTTCTAACTATCCTACGCTCTGCAATGACAGTCTTAATGAATTTCATGAGAATATTTCAGAAGAATCAAATCCTGATGTCATATCCTATATTACCTATCCTCATAATGCA